TTTCCCCACACCAGCAGTGGGGAGCCTCAGCTCTCTTTTTGGGGGTCACCAGCACATCACCGTGCTGGGGAGGGGTGGGGGGAACAGAAGGAGCTTTCCAACCGCTCGAGTTTGGCAGCCCTTGCTGGGGAAAGGCAGGAAAAATCCCTCCCCTTTCCTAAAAGGCTTTGGAGGGTTGAAGCGACTCGTCCAAGCACGCAAGGACAGGCCAGGGCTGGGAAAGCAGCCCTGGTGGGGAAGATCTCAGCTCATGTCTTCTCCACTAGGCCAACCTTTTTATTTAAATACCTTCCCCGTCCCAGCTACCCTTACAGCCCGCTTTCCTGGTGCACCGCGCCGCTGGCTCCGGCACCGCCGAAAACCGATGCTATGCAGAGTCAGAGCTGCATGCCACTCCCAAACACCCCAACCCAGCGGGGTACCGAGCTCCCCCCATCACACCCGTGACCCCACATCATCCACCAGCACCTCATCCGGGTGGACCGCCCCGGCCAGGCAGCGTCCCACCACCGCCAGCACTTTCCCCAGGCGACGGTCCAGTGCCCGCAGGTGGGGCTCGGCCAGGACAGGGGCCAGGGGGTCGGTGGCCAGTGCCTCCCGCAGCAGGTCGCTCAGGCGGTAGGGCTGGGTGGCCAGCAGCTGCAGCCGCAGGTAGGTCGACTTCTTGATGCTGGTGAAGATGAGGAAGGAGAGGTCTCAACCTGGGGAGCTTCTCCCTGACAGCAGCTCCAGGGAGGGTGGTGGGAGCCCCTTACCTGCAGCATTGCTGGAGGGGGGCCAGGATGGACAGTTCGTCACGTGAATGTGTGCCGAAGCTGGTGGGGGGAGAAGACCACCGGTGGGCGGTGAGGGTGACATCACCCTGTGGCTCAGGGCCCAACGCGGGGTGCATTTTGGCAAGACCCGCAGTCTCCCTCCACCCCTTTGCTGGGGTCGCCCCCCCCGCCCCCCACTTTACCCACGGCCGTTGTCCAGGTGGAGCAGGAAAGTGTCATTCCCAAATTTCTCGAAGGTCTCGTAGTGGTGCCGGTCCATGTTGCCTGTGGTGGGGCAACAAATTAGCCATCGGGTGGTGGGCCAGGAGGTGGGAGCAGGGACATGGAGCACCCTCCTGCTGCGAGACTGAAACCCAGCGGCTGGGGAAAAGGGCTGGGGGCACCTCTAAGGTGGCCATCTGGTGGCCATGTCTGCGGGGGGGGACGACCCAAGCAGAGACCCCCGGGGCCTCCCAGGCCCTTTCTCATCCTGGCAGCCCCGTGGAGGGACAACAGAGGCAAATGGAGCAGAAGTAATGGCAGAGGCATGGCTGGGTGGCCGGGGACGAGGAGATGGGAAGCTCTCCAAGTCACATGATGGCAGGGGGACAGCACGGGGAGGAAGGAGCAGCTGTGGGGACGGGAGCAGCAGCACGAGCCCCAGAGAGCATGGCCACTGGCCCCGGCTCCCCAGGGGCTGCACATGGGAGCTTGCCAGGAGACGCTTTCCATGCCCAGGGTGTTCATCTAGGATCTCCCCAGCATTTCTCATCCTTCTGCTTGTGCCTCTTGGTCCCGAGGGGTCCCCGCAGCGCCCCAGCACCGGCACGGCAGAGCTCACCCATGAGGAAATCGAGGACCGTCATGTCGATGAGGTCAAGGAGGCGATGGCCGCTGTCGTAGGGCGGCGTCTCTCGCACCTGAGTGCAGTAGTTGGGGTTCAGCTCCCACCTGCGGGCAGAGGACAGGGCGAGGGGGACAGGGTGATGAGAACGGCTGCGGGGTGGCCCCCTCCCATCCCACAGCTCTGCTGCCCCATGCCCCCCATGCCTCCCGTGCCCGTGCCCCGCCGGCTCACTCAGCCGAGCCCTCCAGCCGGTCCGGCTTGCCACAGAGGGCGTGCTCGGTGGAGCAGTAGTAGGAGCACTCCCCATAGAAGCAGACGTTGCCCGCTGGCCGTGGGGACAAAGCAAAGGTTGACAGAGAGCAGGAGGGCAGACAGCCTGCTGCTACCCCCTTCCAGGGTGGCCTGGCAAGCAGCCAGGTAAGGACGCTCCATGGACCGTGGCCACGTGCCACCAGCAAAGCAATGGCAAGGAAAGCCTTGAGGAGCAGAGCCTCGCGGCAGGGGACCTGGCGGGACCTGGAGCAGTCCCCAAAGGGACAGTTTGCCCCAGCGGAAGGGGAGACAGGGCAGGAGGAGCTGGTTCTAGGTGAGTTCCGTGTGGGCAGCCATACAGAAGGATGGATGGCAGTGAGAGCTCACCTGGGGAGATGAAGAAAGTTTTGGCCAGTTTCTTGTCTGTCGTGATGTCACGAATCTCCTTTGTTATATTGACCAAACGGCCAGAAACTGGAGGGATTCGCCGGAAATCCAGGATTCTGAAATGCAGAACTTGAAACCCTTTCTTGCCAACCCAGACTGGTTTTCACAGCCAGTTATTAAAACCACCATGAGATCCCTCACAATGGGGAGGAAGAGGTGGGAAGAAGGAGCAGTTTCTCTGCCGCTTTGCTGTCATGGGAGGGTAGAGTTGGATGCAAACCTTGTGCTCACCTGTCCAGGTGGAAGGCTGCAATCTCTGCGTTGTGCCGCTCGAAGTCCGAGAAGTAGAAGAAGTCAATGGGGGTCTCCTGGTCCCGGGTCTGCCTGGGAGGAGAGGGGAGGGTGGGGGCCATGGCCATGGATGGAGTCACCCCAAGTGTGGGCTTGGCTTCAAACCACCCCTCACCTTGTGTCCCTGGTACTACTGGAGACACAGCCAGACCCAGTCTCCCCCAGTTGCTCCCTTCTGGATGGTGTGGTCCCAAATCCCCCAGCCAGGCGCCCATACACCCCCTGCTCCCAAACCATGGGCTGGGAAGCCCTCATGGACTGGAGGGTCCTCATGGACCATCTTCTTCTTTCCACCACTGGAGGTCACTACCCCATCACAAGCTGCTCCCAGCCTGCCGCAAGCACCACCAGGGAAGGCGACCAACACGCTCGCCTCAATTTTGGAGTGGGGGGGGGGAAGCAAGGCAGCAAACCAAGCATTTCTCCCTCCGTGGTCTCCTCCAGCTGCTCCTCGCCACCTAATGGGACCTTGCGGGTGGTGTATGAGGTTGTCTCTGGCTCTACTCACTTCATGGGCTTGAAGAGAGCCTGCCCGTAATTTGGGAACGTCATGATGAGCTTGAGCTGGGTCCCACCGGACTTCTGTACTGAAAGGGGGCACACAGGGATGAGCGGGGTGGGCAGCAGGCAGCGGGGCAGTGGTGTGGGCAGGGGCGCGGGCAGGGAGGTGGTACCTGAGCTGACAATCCTCTGTGTGGCCAGGTCCTGGAGGAGGGTGGGCATCAGGGGGTCCTGGCGGGGGTACAGCTCGTAGCGGTTGATGCCAATGTGGAATTTGAGCCAGGCGGGGTAGGTGTCGTAAGCCGTCTTCCCTGTCGGGAGGAGCGTCTCGGCTTTACTGCTGCTGACCCTGCAGCCCGACAGCCACCACCACCCCAACAACAACAACAGTGTTTAGTTGGGACGGGACGGGTCCCGTGTCCCCAAGCTCTTCCCAGGAGCCAGCGCATGGAGGGTGAGGTGAGGGGAAGACCCAGCACAAGCCCTGGATGGCGACAAAACCCCCTGCCCCATGGACCCTCCCTGGGGCTGCTGGCACCTGGGCAGATCCCACGCATGGCTGGTGGCCGTGGAGACCCGCCAGCATGGCTGGAGGGGTCTCGGTGGCTTCCTTCGCATCCCCCATGGAAAAGCCCTGGGCTGATTCTGCTCCTCTCATCAGTGCCTTTATTCCCCTGCCGGAGCAGCTCATCTTGTCATATTTCCCCAAGGGATTAGCTCCCGGGAATACAACTGGCGACACACACCCATGTGCTCAGTGGGGACACATACGCATCGGCAAAGCAGAGGTGGAGGAGGAGGAGGGGCTTCCCAGCCATCCCCAGCACCGGCCTGAACTCCCACCCTCAACACCCAGCTCCCTTTGGGTGGGTTTATTGCACACTCCTGGTTTCCCCTGGGTGGGGGTGGTGGTGTGTGTGAGTTTGGGTTAGCACTACCCCTGCCTCTGTGCCTTCCGCGAATCTGCAGTTTGCTGGCATTCAAGGGGGGCTCCTGGGGGCATCTGCCCCCCCTCTGCACCAGCACCCACCAGCACTGCAATGGGACAGTCCCACTCAGGGCATCTATTAACCCAAATCCACCTCTCTCTCTCTCTCTCTAGGAAAATGCAGACTGTGCCCCAATTTCATCAAACCAGACCCATCTCCCATGGTTATCCATAGGCAGGGTGGTCCTCAGAGACAAGGCAAACACCCATTTGTGGAAACCAGCTCTTAAACCAGCTTTTATTCTCTCCCAATTTTAGCAGCCGCTGTGTTTGGAAGGTGTGCTTTCCATAAGGAAGCTGCTACGTGTTATTGACGCTAAAGCTTTTAATATCTTCCCTCCTAATTAGAGGTTAGTAGTCCAGTGATAAAAATAGGCAGCCGGCAACGGTGAGCTCACCATACGGCCGAGCCTAAAGAGGTCAGGCGATGCCCTGCGAAATGCAGGATGGGAATGGTCTCATGGTTAGAGTAACCTACATTGCAGGCTTCCCATCTTCAACATGTCAGGAAGGGGGGATGAAACTGGTTAGAAATCTGGAGTGGGGACTTCCTCATATATATATAGAGAGAGAAACCAAAGGCTAATCTGCATTGGTGAAAGAAAGGAGATGAGGAGATCACCTAAAAGGTACCCTACGTAATACTATGAATAATTCAAGAGTCTCCTTTGGCTTCACCATGTGCCACGGCATCCCGGGTAGCAGCCCAGAAATTCAGGTTTAAGAGAAGATTTGAGGCACAAGAAAAGCATGCTCGGCAATCAGGGCCCCTCCAGGGTAGGATGCTGGTCTATGCAGGGAAACTACGTGTTTGGTCCCTGCCGCTTGTCCCCTCAAATCCCGTATCCCCCAAAAACAAGCCAGGGCTGAGCTCGCTGCTCACCATTCGTCACTCCCGCTGCTGCGCAGGCTGAACTTCTCCATGGGGTTGACAACAAACAGCTTGTCTTTCTCTGTCACCTCCGGGATTGGGATGTTGTAAAGAGGATGCTCGAAGAGTGCCGCCAGCTTTGATCCCTCGGTCCGTCCTGCGTTCCCCTGTCGGCTCTGGGGCCGGACCCCCAGCTCTCCAGCCCTTGTGTGCGGCCCCGCTCCTTGCGGCTGGGAGCTTTTCTCCAAGGAGCCGTTGCTGCCGCTGAAATCCTGAAGGATCCGTAGGCTCAGCTTTTTGGGGCCGGCCAGCACGGGGCTGCCTGAGGGGCTGCCTGAGGCTTTCGGTGCTTTCGCATCGCAGCCACAGGGCCTGCGGGCTGCGGGGAGAGCCAAATCCATCGCCAGGTGCACCAGGAGGGCCAAGAGCAGGAGGAAGAGGAGGCTGACTTTAAATTTCCTTTGGAAAAGTGTTTGTAGCCGGCGCCGCATCTTTCCTCACCCGAGACGCTCAGCAAGGGGTGGGCACCCACCCAGGGCCGAAAGAGAGTTGGTGTGGCCACACTGTCTGTGCCAAAATAGGAATGAGATGTCCTGGTTTTAGAGCATCGCAGCAAAAGAGCAACCAGTGCAAGGGCAGAGTCACAGGAAAGATCTGTCACCGCAGCACCTCGCAGGGTGACACCATCAGACCAGCAGCGGGACGGGGCGGGAGGTTGCCGTGGGGTTTATCAGCGCTGATAAGGGGCGAGCTGGCATCACCAAAGGTTAGCGTGAACCGGGCAAGTTCCAAATCAATAGCCGCAAGGCTGGCTCGGGGACAGCGATGGCTGCAGATAACCCTTGCACCATCCCGTCCCTCTGTGCTGTCACCCGCACACACGGGGCTGAAGAACATTTCTTGGTACAGAGGGCATTAAAGCAGTTCTGTCCCTCTGCAGCACCCACTCTGCCCAGCACTACGCAGCCACATTCCCCGTGTCCACCATATCTGCGCGCTCGCAGTCCAGGAGAGTTCTTCTCCTGCTGCTCAGGCAGAGGAATTTATCACCCTCCCATCTATTCAAAATCACTCGTATTTAACTCCCCTTTCAAAAACCACTCAAACTGGGTAAAACAAAGGAGCTGTGAGTATCAGCATCGCTGGGAGGGGAAAAGCTGCGCTGGCAGTTTAGGGAAGGGCTGCCGGGTGGGTGAGGTTCACGGGCAGGGATGCTCCCGGGGCCTCTGAAGCAGGCAGGCAGGAGTAGGGATGCTGCCTGCTGCCTCGGCATCAGCGCAGAGGGACAGCGGGACCCACTGACCGCCAGGGAGGATCGGCAGCTTGTGTAAGGGAAGGGCTGCCCATTTTTACAAGAAATTCACTTTTCCAGTGACATCCAGGGACACAGAGCTGAGCTGCGTGGGCAAAAATGGTCGGTGACTTGTAAGGAGGGAGCTTTGGATTTGTTAAGGGACAGAGAAGCATGGGACCACCTGTAGCAATCCTGGGAGCTTGGGTACAGAGTCTAGAGCGATGTTTTTCCTCTTTTCAATTTCCCAGAGGATGCAGAGGGCACGTGAAATCCCGTACATCACACGGTCCTTCCTTGCTGCGTGATGTAGCAGCAGCCAGTTTGGACACCCTCGCTCCAAGCCAGGGAGGGTATGATGAGGGGCGGGCAGGAGGGGGGATGCTGGAGACCTCCTCCTCTGCTGTCATCCCTGCGCTACCCTCTCGCTCGCGTTGCCCTCTCTGCACCGTCCCGTGCCGGCTCCATCCGTGCCGGGCTCGGCCCCCTCCCAGGCGGTGCGGCGAGAACGCGGTGTTCTTGGCTCGCCGTGTCCCACGGCGCGACAGTTGCCTGGAAACCGCCTCCGGCTGACACCATCAGCCGCCCCAGATTCAGCCAGCCCCGCGTTCCCTTCCCTGTGCCTTGCGCTGACAAGATGGCCGATGGGAGCCGGGGCGAACGGGGAGGAGGAGGAGGAGAGCTTTCCAGCCCGGCTGGCGAGCTCGAAGCCCTGCAGAAGGAGCCGGGCGGAGGGGAGCAGATGGCTTCCCCGGGGAAGGGAACACGGCGTCTTGCTCTGGGAGGTTTTGCTGGATCCAGTCCGGACGTACGGTTTGGAAAGAAGGCGCCTAGGAGGGGCTGTAGCTGGAACACAGGATCGTTAGGTCATTGCTAAGCAAAAAAAAAAAAACACCAACAAAAAACATGTGCTCACCACTCACATCAAAGGAGCTGGGCTCGGCTACCGGAGCAGGGCCACAGATTGCTTTATTCCAGAGCCAGCCCTGGGGGACAGAGGGGAGAGGGAGACCCTCCTTCTTCCAGTGCTCCAAACTGGGCTGGGGGGGGATAGAAACCTCCCTCCCGCATCCTAGACCCAGACAGGGACAGGGACCCTACAGACTGAAGCCATCCTACTGACTGGTAGTCCCATCCCTGGGCTAGGGGATCTTGCAATCCTACCCCCCCACCCCGATTTAGCATCCCATCAGAAAGTGGAGGCAGGGGGATTAGGTGGGGCACTTGCCACCCTTAGCACTTCAATGCCAGCATTAAATATTAACCGAAAGATTTTTTTAGCGAGTCAGACGTGAGCCTGCAGCACTGGGGAAGAGCTGGAGATCTTCAAAGCCTGCCCCGACTGCCTGACAGCATGGTTGACGTACCTTGTTGCCATGACATCATCTCAGAGAAGCGGTTGAGTTTGCACCTCTTTCTTCCCATCTCACCACCCCCCCATCCCACCCCAAGCTCTTCCTCCATCTTCCCAGCGCCTTCCCCTCTTCCCAGCAGGTTCGAGTCACCCTTGGGGTGGAGGAGGAGCCGTACATCCGAGGACATTTCCACTGCTGGCACCGAGTCAGGACTCCCCGGCAGCCGATAATGATGTTGCCCATCTCCCCTCAGCGGGGAGGGATGAAGTCACGAAGCACAGCCCTCTGAGCTGCTATCGCAGCTTTCCGGGACGGGTGGATAGAAAGGGTCATTTTGGCTGGCACCGATGCATCACCCTGTGTTTTTCATCTCCTTTTCTACATCTGACTCAGCCTGATGCTTTGATGGGTAACGGCAGCAATATGCAGGGGGCAAGAAATGAGAGAGGGAGAAGAGAACACAATAGCGAGCCACCTGTTGCCAACTTCCCCAGCTTTCTGCTGAAAATTCGTAAGGTAAAATCCTTCAGCGAGAGACTGCAGTTTTATACTCAAAAGCAGATAGGCCCTAGAGGCTCCAAAGCACAAGCCGCAGAGGGGTCTCTTGCGGTAAAATACAGGACAAGGCACCAACTCTGATCCACGAACCGTACTCCCCTGAAAATTACAGGCAAGCCCCAAAATGTGCCAGTTCCACAGCATAAGTAGGGTGAAAGTCTTTCTTCTAACACATAGGGGCCAGCGCAGCATGACTCGACTTGCAACAGGCAGGAAAATTGATCTGCTTTATTGAACACTTGCCTCGGAGCAGGGCCTTGACAGGCACAGCTGAATTTTGGGAAGCTGAGGTTCGTGCTTTCGCATACAGCGCCAATGACGGGCACGCGAACCAGCTATGACGGATTGGCTTCTTTGTGGTAACTTCTTGTGGGAAAGCTGTTACCCTTGGAAACAAAAATAGCCTGCCACTCTCCTGTGAGCCACCTTGCACCTACCTTGGGGGAGGTACAGTGTGGGAGCTGACTTGCTGCAAATTCACACCTAGCTCACCTCAATCTGTTTGCACACTCATGCTTCGAGAAGGCTGGGGAGGGGTCAACATTCGCCTGTCACCAAGGAAGGTCATGGAGACATTAGCTTTGGTCAGCTGGTGGCCAAAGAGATAACAAATTGGGCAGCGAGGCCAAAAGATTGTGCGCTGAGGTAAGCAGTTCCCTGTGATCGTCTGCAGGTCAGCATGACCCTGCAGAGATGCCCATGACCAGCGTGTTTGTGCATATGCACACAGCAGTTAATTATTCATTAGCGCGAAAGCGACACGATTAAAGCAACTATGGTATGGCTGGAGGTATCAACATGCTCCAATGCGGGGCATTCCAAAGGCACTGGCTTTACCTTTTCCTCTGATCCGAGAGAAGATAGAAAGTTGTGGAAGAGAAAATAATCTTTTCCACCTGCCAGCTGCAGAAAGCGCCAGCCAACAGTGCTATCTTCACGTAACGGCAGCCAGCTGGAGCGAGACAGAGTAACCGCACCAAGAGACAGCTCAAAGGATTTGGACTCTTCTGCACTGCACGGCAATTCTGCCACTGTGGTCCACTGCACAGGGCAGGCATCATGGTGCCAACTATTTTATGACACCAGTTATGCATCCCCCACCCTACCTTGCAATTCCCTTCCACCTGATCAATAAGGAATTATGTGAGAGGACATCAGGCCCAGCCAGCACAGATGGTCCAAATTTGAAATAATTTCTAGTTGTCTTCATATTACTGTAATTCCTGGCGCACACAAGAGCTCCTAACATGATGAAGTGGAGGAAGGACACCTCTAAGATCATACTGAAGTTCAGAGAAGGAACAAAAGGAATTGTAAGACCCTCCACCAGTTTGATCCACCGCAGGCACTAATGCAGAAAGGTCCTTTGGAATGGAATTATGGACTAGAGTGTGGCCTCACATAAAACACAAGGTGTCAATGGTACTGCTGGTGATGTTCCGAGAGGAAAATCAAGGAAGCCACAAATGCAAGACCCCGAAGGTCAGAGCAGAGGCACACTGGCTGCGCAGAGAACATGGGTACACTCCCTTGCTGCTACTGCTCGGACAGCTGTGTGGACTCAGGGCCTTGGCCAGCAGCACTGTGGGCCTGGCAACCTTCCTCAGCATTGTGGCTTGCACTGGTGAAATGAGTTGAACAGGGAGGATGAGAGCACGGCTCTGGTACCTACAAGTCACCCAGGAAACATGCAGGATGGAGACCTGTCACTGTCCTCCGTCTGAACTACACCATTGCTTACTTAATTCCATGTTTCCTGAACTACTTTTCCTTCTCATCCTCCACTTTGAGATTTTAATTTTACAACACACAGAGAAAAGGACATTTTACTAAATTTTTATTGTAAAAACACAGTTCCCCAGATTTATATAAATAAGCCATATACGTAACATACAATTACGTTCATTCCATCCTCCAACATTAACAGCTTTAAAAAAATGAAACAGGCTAAAAGAACGCTAGTCCAAAAAGACGCTAGGTTTCTGATGACCAAGTGATATCTCACATGGAGCCTCCTTCCTCTACCAGCCTCCAAACAAGATGCTGAAAGTACACAGCACTTGCAACACCCCCAAGAACTGACAGGGAGGCATTCGAGCCTTATGAATAGTTCTCACCCACTCCCCAGGCGTCGTCAGCCGCCCGTGTTTTCATGCTATCTCTGTGTGTGGTGGGTGAGAAAGGAGGGGGCAGTTTG